ATAAGATTATCCGTATAATTCCGGCTATCTGAAATAAACCAAAGGATCCACTAGTTAAACGTACCTAGCAAATTGATTGGGGACGACAACGAACTGCTCAGGTTAATAAGAGTTGGATATTCCTTAGACAAGAGAATACGTGTAAAAAAAAGACGTGCGCTGAAAATTCGCATAAAACAGTTTTACCCGCGGCTCGCCCCGCGTAAACGTCGGTCATCACCGTAAATATACTACTCTGTGTAAGAAGTATCGGGAATATGTCAATAAAAAGACCCGCGTAAAAGAGGTCGTTCTAATTTTTTTACTGCATGTTGGTAGCACTGTACTGATTAAGCGTGCAAAATTTGAGCGGGATCTGTCATTTAATTTGTTTAAACTACACTTTTTGTTGGTGATAGTTTTGAGTCCTCGGCGATGTTTACAATGGAAAATATTGTTGAACAAAGAGTGTGCCTTAAATTTTGTGTTTCGAATGATATTTCTTGTGGTGAATCACTAAAAATGTTGCGAAATACCTACGGCGAATCGTGTATATCGAAAACAAGGGCTTATGAATGGTATAAGGCTTTTAAAGAAGGCCGAGAAGTAGTAGTAGACTTGCCTCGTTCTGGTAGACCTTCAACCGCTACGACCAAAGAAAACATCGACAGAATCAAGAAGCTAGTGCTCGAAAATCGACGTATGAGTCTGAGAGAGTTGGCTAGTGAGGTGAACATATCTTTTAAGTCCGTCCACAACATTCTCGACTAGTTCCAAAAGAGCTTAATTTTGTTCAAAAAGCGCAGCGAAAGCATGTCGCTGAAGACATGGTTTCCCGAGCTTCTACGGATCCGACCTTTATTAAAACGTATAATAACTGGCGACGAGACATGGGTTTATGAGTACGACATGCAAACAAGCCAACAGTCTTCTCGAAAACGAGCCGAAACCAAAAAAATCGCGGCAAAGTCGCTCCAAAATCAAGGTGATGCTGACAGTTTTTTTTGACTACCGTGGTGTGGTTTACTCCGAATTCCTTCCAGAGGGAGAAACAGTGAATAAAGAATATTATTTAGGCGTCATGAAGCGTTTGCGTGAGAGTATCCTCCGAAAACGTCCAGATTTGTGGCAACACAACTCATGGATGCTGCACCATGATAATGCACCATCACACACAGCCATTATAACGAAAGAGTTTTTAGCGAAAAAATCAACAAAAGTTCTCGACTAAGCACCGTATTCCCCTGATATGGCTCCGTCTGACTTTTTTTTATTTCCCAAGTTAAAAAATTACCACTTCGAGGAAAACGTTTTGAGTCGATAGAAGCCATAAAAGAAAATTCGCTGAATGAGCTAAAGGCCATACCGCAAATAGCCTATGAAAAATGTATGGAAGACTGGGTGAAGCGGTGGAGATGTTGTATTGCAAGCGATGGGGCCTACTTTGAAGGCGATAAAATAAATTTAGATGAATAATTTGTATTTTTTGTTTTATTGACAAATTCCCGATACTTAGTACACAGAATGTATATATACGAGTATATAAACTTACACTAGACTGATTGGATCTTCTAATAGGAACATTCTACCCAAGTGTCTCAGATACATTGGAAAATACTTTTCTTAGTATCTATGTAGTAATTGTTGATTCAATTGAAATGACTTTCACTGGTTTATAATTTTACGCAAAAGGCATAATAACGTAAACTTCCTTCGGCTATTATGATAACATGTAGGTATTGTGTTTTTACACAAAAAGCGCTAGTTTTGAGATGTCAATATTCCGCTATCTAGACTATCCATAGTTTCGAGAAATTTGTTTAAATATTTAATAATTTTAATATAATCTTATGTATTCAAATAACAATGATACCTTTAAATGCAAACTAGTGTTACCGTACGGAATTTTAAGTTTATTTGTATTATTTTCAGATATAATTTAATAGCGGAAACTTGGCCTTTCCAACCACCGTCGTTCTGTGATAATACCTGTTTTTGTGGTAAGTTTATTTAATATATAATTAAGTTTAATACTGATCAGTATTAATAAATAAATAGAAAATTAATGAAGTTAATATATGATAGGAGTAATAAACACTTCATTTTACAAAAAACAAACAGAAACTTATTTGTAAAGGCCTTATTGGTAAAAAGCGATGTCTTCGAGGCAACTTTGAGTGGACTGCATAACTTAATAATATCTTATACCAAAGCTGCTGTCCTTGCACAATATAATACATATATTATATATGCACAATAAAATACACATATACTTCTTTTTTTTTCTTTACTCAACTCTTCATCGTTACTTGATTACATAGTTCTTTAGTTGTTCTTTTGCACCAACCACGACTGAAATCTTTCTACTGTCAATAAATTAAAAAAAAAATTTTATTCTATGCTCCTTACACCTTCAACTTCGTCAATTCTTCCTTCTACATACAGGCAGTTCTTCTCTGGAACGCCAAATTGTCGAAATGTCCAGAATTTCCGTAAACCGTCGTACATTTAAGACAAAGTAAGCGATCTTGTGATCGGTCACCGGTACCCGTTACCGTATGTATATATGTATAATATATTATCTAACAATAACCTGTAGTATCTGTACTACAGGTTATTGAACCTGTACTATTTTAAGCAGACTGCTAATAAACATACTTTTAAATTTTTGAAAATATACATATTGTAGGTAAATTACACCCAGGCACAGCAAATGATCGGACTCATCACAAACTGATTTATGCTGGGTGGGAATCGAACCCACGACCTCAGTCAGAATGACTAACCACGCGACCAACAAGCCCGTCAAGTAGTAACTAATATTGCCTTCTATTTATGTAGGTATATTATATTTTTTATTAACCAAATAACTTTAAATGCCAAATTTTATATTTTATCTTTGGACCTACCGCATCATATTTTTACATCACCCGAATTTTGACTGAGAGAGAATAGTCCATGGCATGGCATGGCATGAGGTGAAACCTACGGCTGCTATAAATATCAAACCAGAAGAAACCGAAACCTTAATGCAAATGCTTTATAGGCAGCTATACAGCTATCTGCGAAACCAATCAATTACTGTTAGAGATGTGTCAATAGAGTGTATAATACTTATCAGGATATGAAAATCTACTGTATTAAAGGTGTTGCTAAAATACAATAGTTTCACATTATCCGTGGCCATCTTAATTTCGTCCGGATCGAATGGATGGTTTACAACTTAATGTTAAACCAGAAGACGTCTTGTTAAGAGTACCTACATAAAGCCCTTCAAGACTTTTAGCTTGGATATTTTAAATATGGTGCGGGAAGTTAAATATGTCGGATATGGTTTGAAAACTTAAGTGAAGGATAGGAAGGATCATACTTGGGCAAATGCAGTCGTCGCTAACAGTTTTGGAATTTATGGTCGATATGATATGAACTCGGTTCCAAAAATAACGGGTAAGTCACATAAACCCGAATATCTCCCGAACTACGTATGCCATCCTAATGAAACGAAGACTGTTTAATTGAGAATTTAATTATACAGATAAAAAATAAAATAAAACTTAAATCTAAACTCTCTAACTCTTAACTTATCTCTAAATTAAAAAAAAACTAAAGTAGTCATATTTTTCATAAGATCACATTTTTTTATGATTGTTTTTTTGCTGTTTTTCATCACTTTCTTCATTTAATACTTTGTATTGCCTCCACGAGCTCTTCTGATAGCTTCCAGGCGATTAGGCATGCTGTACACCAAATTTCGGAGCCGGTGCTGAGGAATACCTTCCCATTCCTCCACCAGTGCTTGTTTGAGCTCGGGAAGCGTGATTGGTGGGAGGTTTCGACCTTTCACGCATCTCTGAAGCTCGTCCCAGGCGTGCTCGATGGGGTTTAAGTCCGGGCTTCGCGCTGGCCACTGCATGAGTGCGATACCGACCTCTTCAAGGTAGTCATGTACAATCCTGACGGTATTTGGACGCGCATTATCATGCATTAATATGCCATGCCGGTCCATCCTGGCCATGAAAGGACCTACATGTTCATTGAGGATCTCTTCCACGTACCTCTCTGCATTTAAAATTCCATTTTGAATGAGTACCAGCTCGGTGCGGGCCTCAGTAGAAATCCCAGCCCAAACTTGTACGGAGCCTCCACCGTACGCCACTTTTTCCTCCACACACGCTTGATGGAAGCGCTCCCCTGGTCTTCTGTACACCAACTGCCTACCATCATGCTTATAAAGCATGAATTTAGACTCGTCCGTGAACATTACCCTAGACCAATCGTCTAGTGTCCAGTTTAGGTGCTCGCGCACGTATCTCTGTCTTGCAATTCGATGTCCCCGTTCCAGTTTGGGGCCCTTTGCGGGCCTCAATGGTTTTAAATTTGCTTCAGCAAGACGTCTTTTTACTGTTTGAGCGCTTAAATTGCCACCTCCAAAGCGAATAAAGTGAGTTTTTAGGCCAACAGCAGTTTGAAAACGATTCGGAGCATTGTAGCCACCAGTTGTCTGTCTTCCCTGGCCGTTGTGCATCTTGGTCTGCCATTTCCTGGTTTTCTAAGGTGTGATCCGGTCTCTCGGTACCGCTGGACTACCCGCTGAACAGTCGACAAAGATACACCAATGTTTCTGGCTGTTTCACGCTGGCTCCGCCCAAGTTCCAGAAAAGTTAGGATTCTGGTACATTCCTCTAGCGTGACTGCCATGCTTTACCTCACAGAATAATAATTATGCACGTGGAAGACGTTCACGATAATTTTTTGGTGACAGAATAGAAATGGAAAGCATCCATAATGAAATGAAACAAAAATTTTGTTTTTAAAAATAGTCATTTTTTTAAATTTTGTTTTTGTAATGAAGTTTTTTTCATCAACCGGTTTAAATAATATGCTATAAGAAGCGCAACTAAAATGTCTTTATTCTGTTTTTTATTTCATTGATCTAACTTTTACAGTTCTGGAGGTATTTCAATTTTTGTGACTGACCCGTAATTTTTGGAACCGAGTGTATTTATATAATTAAATTTAAAATGCAGAAAGTGGAGGGTCAGTTGCGGAAAGATGAAGATGTGTTAGTTTTGTGTCTATTAAAAGCATCTGGATCTATGCTGCTAGAATTCATTTTTTTATAAACTTAGAAATGACACAAAATTCTGTGTGTTGGTGCATTGTTAGTGTAGAAAGCATAAAAGTCATTAACAGACGACGAAGTCTTTTTAATTAACCAACAAGGAACTGACAACTAAAGAATTGTAAAAAGTAAAGCACAATAACATTTTTAAAACTCGTTGGAAGATGTGTGCTCAACAAGCCAGTTAACTTATAACAAGGTAAACCTGTATCTTATAGTAAGAGACAAAGAATAAAGACAGTTAAATATTTTCCGGGATTTCAAGTAAATAATTGCTTATGTACTACTTAAATGACATTTACATACACCACATTTACTTAAACCTGATTACCTTTAGTTTCGTCTAGTTTTTTAATTAGAAGGATCATGTAAGTTCAGATTATCATCACATCAACAGCCTTTAACAGTCCACTGCTGGACATAGGCCTCTCCTTAGAAAAGAGGTTTTGGCCTACTATACCACGCTGGCCAGACGGGTTGGTATAGGGTTTGTGTCAAGTCTTCCTTCTCTCTGCAATGCTGTTGTCCTGCGTAGTTCGCTCCCTTAGTCGCCTCTTACGACACCCACGGGATGAATAGGGGTGGTGACACTCTGTATTCATAATCCGTCAACACACGGACAGAAGTTCAGATTATAAATTAACATTATTCATTACAGATAATAAAAAAGGCAGGTAACACATTACAACATTGTTAAACTGTAGAAAACATTGTTTATTTTCGTTTAGCGCGTTAAAATCAATTGTATTCGAAACGTAACGTTATCTACGAATATTTTATCTTTTCAATAAAATAATTATATAGTAGAAACATATATTATTTTGCTATTGCTTATTTTTTTTTTATTAGTTTTAATAATTTCGTCTATAATTATAAATACATAGTTTTATTTCCTCTTAATAACAATAAAATGTTGATATTCAAGTTCATACTTTGTTAAATACATATATTCATACATTTGTTTAAATCCATTCTTGGGTACTTCTTGTCTTTTGTTAAGTAAATTTTCATATTGCTTTATGTTAATGACTGTTTTGTACCAAAAAAAAAATAATAGATTGGCCATTGTAATTCCTCATTAAATGAACAAGTTGAAGGCCTATTCTCGTAATAATAGTTCGGTTTCAATTCAGTTTCGATCAACTTTCGATCTCACAACTGTCACAAAAGGTAGTTTCGGAGTAAAATATTAAACATCGAACGTTGATTGTAATGTGATTATATCGTATTGTAACCAAAAATTTAATTGGTAATCTACTAGTCTTAGTAATAATTTAGGTACTATTTCACTATTTTTACGAAAAAACATCTTATGACAGTTGTGAGATCGATAATTGATAGGAAGTGAATTGAGACCGAACTTTTATTACGAGAATTAGCCTTCAGTTCTTATATGCACGGTGTATTTATTCGACGTGGGTACGAGTAAAATAATGTGTGACTGTGCACGGTTGGCGTAGTGGTTTAAGCGGTGGAGTTCAAACCCCACATGGGACGACACTTTGTGTGATCCACAAATTATTGTTCTGAGTCTGGGTATTCTTTGTGTCCGTTTCATGTATGTTTGTAAAATCCCCCGTAACACAGGATATTTTCCTATTGCGGGAGTTGTCTTTTAAAAAAAAAAAGGAAAAAAATGTGTTAAATTAATTCACTATTTTCTTAAATCAGAAATTATCTTTTTTTTTACTTAAATCTATTAAAGCTTTCTCTTAAATAGAATCGACTAATATTTTAAATCGAATCTGCAGCGTTGTTAGGGCATCACTAATTGATTTCTAATCGAACTGTTAAAAAGAAAATGACAGAATAGACACAGTAAAATTAATTGGTTTCAATTGTTCTCAATTAATCTAAGAAGTGATAGAGCAGTGATTTATGATCTGTTTGATATTGTCAGTTTAATGAAGTTTATGTTATAGTTAGTACCTAATCAATACAATTCGCCATTAAAAGCCGAAGTAACTCGCCTTCAAGAAATATATATTTAGCTCAATGAACCAATATTTGGTATAAAAATGATAATAAAGTTAAAATACTAGTCAAGGTTTTAGTGACATATTAATTAAAATCATCAGCGAAAATGTAATAAAATTCAGGGATCAAGGATAAGCTGAAGATTCAAGCTTCGAAGATCGAATCGATCGAGTGCATAGACTATAATGCCGTTAACCCACATCAGATCGATATTTGGTTTTTAAATCCACCTTAATCACAAAAAAATCTATTTATTTATATCTGTTTTTGTTCTCGAGATAAAGATAGTTAAAACGCCGTTATATCATGTTTTTTTTTTCATATGTGTACAACTTAAAGACGCAGTTAACCATATGTATTTATTAACCTAAAAAGCAGCTAACAGCCCTTAGTTTTTTTTTCGTTGTAATTTTTATGTAAGTTACATAACTAAATTGTTGTTAACTGATTTTTATATACAATAGTGTCGTTTAAACACTTAAACGTTTTTGTAGATTAGCATTTTGTTATTAAGAATGTAGCTATTCCAACGCTATAAAGCCGTTAAATAAAAATACTATACATAAATGCGGTTAAAATCACTTAACTGCATTTTAACGTTTTATTCTACATATATTTTTTCATTCACGGCGTTTTCAAAAAAAAAAAACAAAATTATTTAAGCTGCAACACTAAAATGCGGCTATCCCACATTACAACGCTAAATTTCCGATAACTGCTCTCGCGGCGTTCGTCTGTCGTATTTCGCCTAGAAAACGCAAGACTATAAACAACGTACATATATACAACCCTACTACTTGATGGCGCCTGTGTTCCAAACATTCTGCGAAACACACATTAAGTACATACCAGGCACATAATTTACACAAAACAGTGACCATACTTAGAAGAACTTTTTCCGAGGCAGATTCACCAAGTGATTTTAATTCTGACGATGACGTGATTAAAATTATTACCCGGCTGCGTCAAGTGGCGACTCTGGAGAATATAATATTCATGTAGTTACCAAAGACAATCAACAGCCCAAACTCTCACAAAAGAAAACAAATTCAAAAAAAAAAGCTGTCGTTCTCAACTAAAATCCTTCCTTGTGTATTTCGGAGAAGCTCATTGAATTGTAGTCAGTCTAAGAAAGCTACATGGACGACAGTCGACGAAGGAATACCATTGACACAATCTTCACTACTTTTAGTACTGATCAAATACATTTTACAGAACATGATCTAGAAACAAATATATTGCAGCCTGTAACAGCGCAATCGTCATCAAAACGTTAACGATGTGCCACTTTTTTTACGTCAGCGAAAATAAATGCTAAAAATAAGAGAAGAATTGAACACACTGTTAAAATGCATTACGAGAAAACAAAAGCATTCAAAACAATACCTAATCTCCCGGCTGATTACTAATTATGCAATAAACAATCCTAAATAAAAATTATTTAAAAAACATGTAGTTTTTGTAACACTTATGTACATATCCGTAGTAAACTTGCAACTAATATCCTACATATTTTAAAAGCCAGCACAATGTACTGGGTGATCGCTTTTTTGTAACCACCTAAACATGGTCGGGTTACCACGGTCTTGCACCTTCTAATGACTTTTATTTAATTATCTCGTAAATTATTATATGTACTACGCTGAAATTTTACAGGTAGACAACTGAACTAAATAACTAATTATTGCCATAACATTCAGTTTATATATCCACACACAGGTTTATCGGTGGCCAAAAAAGGCCGCACACATTGTGATCGTGAACGTGAAGAGCTACATTTCATTATAACTTTTTAGTCACTTACAGTATTCTTACGAAAATTCGTATACATTTGAAGGTAGTTACAAGCAATAGAATAACGTTTGAAGTAAGTCTTTAGAGGTCTTATTTAAAGTGTTAGGACGTATTGAAGTGTTTTCATACTTACCTAAATAATTTTTAAACGGTCCATTATTTTTGTTATTTTATTGTCGAACAAATTAAAAGTAATCCTTAAGAAGTTATGTACAAAAGATGGTTACAATCCGCTTACCCGTTTCAGAGATCCAGCAAACCCACAAACGTTACTCCAGCAGGATCTCGAATAACTTCGCAGCCGAAGAAAATACAAATACCAAATAAGTTGTAACATTTACCTAGTCCAGATAACTAATTATTTAGCTAAAATTTATTTCAATATTACAATTAAAAAAGAAAATGTCTGGCTGCGGTAACGTTTCAAACGTTACCCCAGCAGGAAATGTTTTTTTGAAATAACTAAAAAAGTTTAAGTGAAACAAATTTAAAAATGTGCCTAACAATTACAGAAGGGGAGCAACTAATTATCTATAACGTTTAAATGACCATTTTCGACATTATTTTGCTAGGGTAACGCACACTACAGTGTTAACTTACTTTATATTCAAAGTTAAAAAAAAAAACAATTTTCTTTAGTATTTACTTTATTTTAACTTGCCTGTAAACATACTATTAATAGGACTTTACATCGTAAATACTTTACTATAACGCAGCTATAACTATAACTATAATACTTAATAGTTACGAAGACATACAAGACAAAGTGTAGTATTCTATAGCATAACATTACAATATAAGCCGACTATAACGCTAAAATAGGATTTTAGGATTATTACATAAAGTTAATTAATTCGACTATAATATCATTTGATAGTGTTTCAAAATACCTATCTTGCCCTATCAAAATATCTCTAATAATTGAAATAGACATCAAGTGGCATGATTTTCAATTCTATTTTTAGTTTTTAGCTCATATCTGAAAATGTGCATTTGTCAGATAACGGCATTATAGTATGTGGACGGCAGAGCGGCCGACCTCGTACAGTTAGGACACCAGCGGGCATAAAAAGCAACGAAGGCGCGAATCCAACGAAATCCCGTGCGTAGACAAAAAATGTTAGCTCTTCTGATGGGGCTAAGCAGAACCACGGTCAAAAGTTTCCTTTTCTATTAATTGTAATATATACGAGTATATACAATTTTCTTAATATTGCTCAAAGAAATTATTATTTTTTACAAATTGCTTTCTTTTTGCAATTATCAACCATCGCCCAGTTTTTTATCTACAATGTTAGTGACGGAAATTATAAAACAACGTATCACCGACACAAAAACCGTAAAAAAAGACAAATTTGAGGATAAAAGTTTAAAAAAAATGTATTAGGCAAAATTTCGGCAATCTTTATGAAAAATCTTAAAAGTTCAATATCTTGAAGATGATTAAGTTTGGGATATGGTAATTCACAGTGAAATTTACCAGCTATAATGGTAACCACAACCCCCTTAATTATGTGGTCCGACTTTATCAGTAACACTGTCTTTACTTATTAAAGAGAAAAATCCAAAAATAAAGTTAAGTTTCTGCTCGCCTAGCGTTTACGTCATTGTCGCTGTGTTGTTGCTCAACCGGCGTCTTTCCATAAAGTAATATTTACAAAATGTATTTGAAAGTTACTGACTGATGGCTTTCAACTTTTTCATCGGTTAATGACGTATGGATCAAGCCCCGCTCTCTCACCAATCAGGGCCTAAGAAATTATCGTTAAATTTTTCTTATTTTTATGGAAGATTGGGCAAACAAGCAGACGGGTCACCTGATAGAAAGCGACTACCGCTGCCCATGAGCGCCTGCAACTCAGGAGTCACAAGCCCGTTGCCGGGCCTTTGGGGAAGGAGTACGCTCTTTTCTTAACGGATTGAAGGTCGTATCGGTCCGGAATTACCACAGACGATAACTTGTTCCATAGATTAGTTGTGCGGGGCAAAAAAGGGTCTTGAAAAGCTCACAGTGGTGGAGTGCCAATTATCCAAGTATTGCTGATGAAAATTTTGCTGTGTGGAAAGTTGCGGCCGGTATTGGTCCGAAGAATTCCTCCGATACTGGCTGGGGCAATTCGAAGTCAAAGTCCGAGCCATCTAACCAACTAACAACGTAATAGTTATAATAAACATTTAAATTGATCTTAAATGACAAATGAAAAAAAAAATTATTACTTTCGCATTTATAATATTAATAGGGATTTACAAATAAATGTTCTTAAATATTGTATTAGATATTTTGTAATAATCAAATCTTTGAATAGTAAGTAGTTATCTAGCACTTATTTATAAGATTTCACTTAACAATTTTGTCTGTGATATCTCATAACAATTCCATAGCCATTATCCATTATAGACAAAACCACTTTTTATAGGCAAAACCAAATAACTATCAATTTGTGAATTCACAAATTAACGAATGAAATATTTTAGCCATGTCGTATGTGACTGATGTACTTTATGATGACTAAAATATTATCATTTAATCATGTAACGTTTTGTTTTATCTTGTAACTAACATAAAAATACTTAAAAAATACCTATGTAGGTATTTCGTTTTATGAATCAGTACCAGCTTTGCTCGGTATTGTTTTTTTTTGGTAAATTTACTATAAATAAAACCTAGCTAGATTGATTAATCGCCCCCGAAACCCCCTGCATACTAAATTTCATGAAAATCGTTGGAGCCGTTTCCGAGATTCAGATAATATATATATACAAGAATTGCTCGTTTAAAGGTATTGGATTGTAGAGATTGGAAATATTGGTATTTTTGTGCAAAAGAACAAATATATTTATCGCAGCTTTAACTTGGAATACTATTGTATGTATAATATCTTGAATTGGTGTACAATAAAGATTATTCTATTCTATTCTACGATTATAAAGTATGAAACTGTGGGGTAACTCCACCAATGCAGAGCACAAAAACGGTGTATTAGAGCTATTTCCTGTCTTAAGCAAACAGATTCATGTAAACCTTTATTTAGAAAGCAAAATATCCTAACTTTACCTTGTTTATATGTATACGAAACAGCTATATTTATTAAGTGTAATTTACATTTATTTGAACACCGTACAAGGCAACGTCATATTAACAAATTATGCATTAGACCATCTAAAACTGCACTACTTCATAAAAGTATATTCTGCATGGGCCCAAAAATAAATAATAAGATACCATCAGATTTGAAAAATGAAAATAACTTAATTTTATTTAAGAAAAAGTTACATGCTATTCTAGTTGGTAAAACTTATTATTCGGTAAAAGAATACATGGAAGATAAAATGTAGAATGATGTAAATAATGCACTACTTACATCTTCCTTTGACAGACATCAGTACAGAAATTTTATACGTATTAATTTGACATATTATAGTTCGTATTTATTATTATTTGTTTATTTTGTATTATTTAACTTTAGAACTGTATTATTATTTAGAATAATGACACTACTGGATATTATTTTGTTATAATTAATGGCTATTATTTAATTATTGTTAATTTTTGCATGCTGTGACATTCGGCTTAATATGGTGAAACTGGCTGTATCTTTTCCACCTGTTTTTCTTTTTGTATAACCCATATTATCGCAACTAAATTGAATTGAATTGAAAAATTGAAAAACAGGCATAATATGTGTATATATAACTACATAATTTTACAAAGGTCCCTAATTAGAATTGATACAATTGCTTGTGTTGTACGTACCTTTAAAAGCCAAAAAAATTTTTTGGCTTATAAAGGTACGTACAAAGTGCATATATTGTGACAATGTCTGTGTACATGGACACAATAAGGAAGGGTATCTGCGTAAACTACAAATTACGAAAAATTCTTTTGAGCGAGGTCGATGGTCAACTATGATCTCTACCGGTGTTCACTGACGTTTACAGTGACGCGGTACGTGACGCAGGCGGGTTTGCAAAGACGGTGCTCGATGGTCGATCGGCAGCGCGCGCGCTATGTCAGTCACTATCCGCCGTGCTGGTGGACGCCAACACCTGCGCGTGTACCTTACATCAACAACGCGAAAGTCGACCTGCTTGTTTTTTATTTTGTATTCACGCGGTGTTCTTAAGAAGCACACTCCTATAGAAAGGACTGTGTCGTCCTTTCGTTGTTACACACCCATTTTAAAGAACATCCGTACACGTAAGTAGTTATCAATGTTTATGCTTTATGAATTAAATCATTTAATCGTTAAAAAAGTAATGTATTCGTGTGTGTAAACTTAATATTAACAAAACTATTGATTTCATAGTTATGACGTGTATAATTTTTTGTTTATGTTTGTAGTGGATTTATAATGAACATAATTTTATTAGTTGAATAATACAACAAAAATAGTTTTACTAGTAGTGCCCTTTTTTATTATTTTCATTTTTTCAATATAAACAAAGTAAAAAAGTAGTAGTAAAATAAAGCATATTTAAAAAATCTTTAAATCACAAAGCTTTTCACGTGAATTGTTAATTGTAGGTTAAACCGTAGTATAGTGACAAAAAATTGTAAGTTTATTTAAAATGTTATGTAGCATTCATCTAGCTGCATCATAATGAACATGACCTGACCCGAGCAATAAATATTTATTTTATTTCCTCAATTTAAGCTAGCAGTTAGTTAAAAGTCATAAAATGTTTATGGTTTAATGCTAAGAAGGATATTGCTAACTTAGTATTTACTTTTTTACAAAACTATAATAAACATCCTATTTAAAAAATATAGTAACTTTGCAAAATGTTTGTGATAAAAATATGGTTATGTCAAAATTCGGTGTCAAAATAATTTTGAATGCATGTCCCATCGATGTTTTAGCCCGGTTTGTTATTGTTCCATCATAGATTACATAAGCTAGAGACTAACAAATATTTCACGAGGTTCCTATCAAATTGATCATCGCTGCATATCGATGACTTTGCGCAACGCCGCGTTCGTGTCACCGCGTCTACAATTGTCGCGTTCCACAATATTCCACATCGCTTCACGAATATGCTTCAACCACGGCACGCTACGTTATTTATACTCATATCCTTATCTTTGCTTTAAATGAATTTTAATGAATATAGGTTTCGATTTCCATTTTCTTTTAACGATATTGCTCTTAGTTTTTTGTTATTATGGTAACCGGCTTTCACTAACTTGGTGCAAGGAAACTCTTCCAAATCCTGCAGTAACTGATAAGACAGTAAACATATTATTACATTAAATCTTTGACTGAAAATCTAGTCTAGAGATAGGCGTTTATACTTCTTGTATAATTAACTAATCATTAATCATACATCAGTCTATTGCAATGAATCCTTTGCATATACCTCTCACAATCTACGCTACACCTGTCGGTCTTTAACTTGCTGCATCCAATCATTCGCAATTAACTATTTCAAGTAGCTAGTTCTTCTGGTGGGATTATCTAGGGTTTACGCAGTTTAAAAGTTTTTATTAATGGCATTGCTAATGCTGCCAAACGAACCTTCCTCGCTCTTCTATAGAAGTCAAAAGAAACATCTTAATCAATAGTTGTTTTTTAAACTATTCTTATACATACGTGTTATGTTCTTTTGAAATACATTTATTTTGATATTTTCTATTACAGTTAGTAAACATTTTAATATAAGCGCGTTTAAATATGAAAACAAAACTTTGAACTCTTAAGTGTCTGGAACCAGTCTTCATAAGGGGAACGTAAGCTTTTATAATAGTTAATTCACAACAAACACATCACTTTCTTACATAACCTAAAATACCTCCGCTACAATAGCCAATAAAAGTTTGTAAAGTACAAATAATTACGTTAATTAATTCTTTATCAATTGATCATGACGATCAATGATGTGTATTATGGCTTCGTAAAACACAGCATCTACCATTTATCAAATCAATACTGGGGCAGCCCTTACTAACTTCATCAATGTACGTTATTTATAAAAAACCTCTGATTTAATACAATGGGCACTTTACTACAGCTATTAAATTCTTGATATTAGTAAATTAGAGATACTTAAGTGATCAAGTAATAAATAAAATAATTTGTGTGAACAATTTAAAAGATTTAACAGATTCAATTAAATTATTAGTATTAGTTATATGTAACGGCAATATAATTTAATAAGTTAGTGCCTATTCCCATTTAGGAATAACTAACAATTACTATTTTCTTCCAATAAGTCCACTGTTGACCAGTACGTGTTGCCGGAATTTTGTTTTTAATTTACGCCAAATAATCCTGCTACGAGTATGTGCGAGCGCTCAAGTGAACGTGGACGCCTCTACCAGCCAGTTGTAATAGGGTATAGGCACTGTAAAAAGTTTTACAGATACAGTAGCTAAAATCTTGGATGTCTGTTTTTATTAACACAAGCATGTGCTGCTTACCCGTTAGTCTCAGTTCATGGTGTACTTTATGCCAAATGTAAAAATGGTTTACATTTAACATATGTATGTTAACAAAGACCGTTAACATTTGTTGCCAGCTCGCAAACAAACTGCAAAACTGTAGAGACTGTAAAAAACTGATCTCCTGCTTCCAAAGAGAATAATTAGATCAACGTGTCCGTCAGGTAAAGTTCTCTCCGTCCTCGTCTAGGGCACCTCAAGAATATCTAGTCAACAAATCGACATTATTGGCGTTACAATACGTTACATAAATACATACGAGTAGATGAACTAACATTGAGATATGTCTAAATGTTTTCAATTTACGAAATTGAGCCTATGTAACTCCTAACACTACTTGCTAGCAATATTAATGTGAAGTCGTTAGATAATCTCATCATCTGCCTACCCTTTTCCCAATTTTATTCGGGGTCGGCGCAGTATGTTTGATTTTTCCATTCTACTCTGTCATGCGTCATCTCACTGTTTACTCCCTTCCTTTTTCTTCGGTCTGCCTCTTCCCTTGTACCCTTCAACTCCCATAACTAAAACTTTCTTCGCCACATTTTCCTCATCCCTTACTTCTTAACTTTTCATCCAGTGGCGCTACTTTCAGACTCTCTCGTATATACTCATTCCTAACCTTGTCCATCTGAGTCACACCACACATCCATCTCAGCATTCGCATTTCGGCTACGTTCAGGCGACTCTCATCCGTTCTCTTAATGGGCCAACTTTCAGAACCATACAAGACGGCAGGTCTGATAATAGTTTTATAAATTTATCAATTGAGTGTTAAGGGGAATCTCTGGGGTCACAAGTTGTTCCCGTTACTTGCCGCCACTTCATCCATCCCGTATTGATTCGATGCTGTACAGTTCGATCCATCTCATCATCACATTGTAAAAGGGAGCCGAGGTACTTGAAATTGGAGCAGACTGTTATCGCTATCCCATCCAGCGAAATGGTTTCAGGACTGGAGAGACCGCCGAAATCGCAGAACATGTACTCAGTTTTGGTTCTGCTGATTTTCAAGCCAACATTCTCCAGCCTTTGTTGCCATTTTTCCAGTCTGCTCTGGACCTCAACCCCATCTTCACCGACCAACACAATGTCATCTACGAATAGCATGCACCAAGGTGCCTCCTCCTGTATGTCCGATGTCAGAGCATCCATTATCAACAGGAAGAGGTATGGGCTCAGAGCTGATCCCTGGTGCAAGCCTACAGAGACACTGAATTGATCAGTGTTTCCCGTGACCTCACATGAGTGCTAGACTCTCTGTACATAGCCCGAATCAATTCTACATACTTAACAGGCACTCTTTCTTCTTTCAAAGCCCACCACAATACCTCTCATATGCCTTTTCGAGATCCACAAACACTATATGCAAGTTTTTGTTCGCACTATAATCTAGACAAAAAAAAATTAAACGTGACTTTGGGCTCAAGTCCTTATGGACTATGAATGTATCTTTGTTTCTAAAAAACTTGTATTAAGGTAATAAATTGTAGTCTAAATAATAATTAATATGATAAAATTTACAGATCCAATTGCAAATCCCCATTTTTCCAACATTTAAAGTAATTTATTTTATTGTATATATTAGGATTGTTTCAAGGAAGAATCAATAATGGCAGAATAAATACAGATATCTAATTACTGACCTCAATAAATAAATAAGTTTACGTTATCAAAGGAAACAACTAAAATGGCAAAATATTTAAATTTATTTTTAAACATTTTGTAAATCTATACATAATACATATAATAAAAATACATAATACATATATTTTTGGTAACTATTTATCCGTCACATATAAATGAGAAAAGACAAAATAGTTAAGAACTAATAAGTATATACATGGGACAGCCATGCTTCGGTACAAATGGGCCAGCTTGACCGGAGTGCTACCACGTTCTCACAGAAAACCGGTGTTAGGCATTTCTTCGTTTTCACCTAGTGAGAGAGGTTACCAAAGCCCAACCCGCCTCTTCGTATTTTTATTACATGTATCCTTTAGGTGAAATGTAGATGTGGATGGAATATCGTATTTCGTTTAAAAAAATCTCAACCAACTGACTTCATATTTAACCCCCGACGCGATATATAAATAGTATGTTTTCGGAAAATTAAACGTGCCATGCAATCAGCTGTCAAAGGTTAAGGTCTTTCCCCGTAGATACCGCACATAAGTAATAACTATATTTGTATAGTTCGATAATTACATTGCAGTTTTTGACCGTAAGCGGTATTTATTGAATTATTTTAGGTCATGTTCTGTTTACTCATTGTGATATTATTTTTCATCATTTTTATCAAAAAAAATGGAAAAAAAACATAAATTTAAACAGAAAATTCCAATGCTTTTTGACTCTTACTTTAAAAATCAGTAAAATTAGAAAAATGTGTGATCTAATTGGAATAAGTGATTTTGTTTATATTAAAACGTTAATTTATTTTAGTAAAAATATAGATTAATTTTAGTGTTTTATTTTTGATAAAGTGTTTTGCTTTTGTGCACGATTGTATTATAGCTTTTCATACCAAGATGTATAAATAAAGTCCAATGGAACACGTCGTTTGATAGAGGTTCTAACGGGCACTAAAGTATAGGCAAAATCTAAGTGTGATGGTCTAAACTGAGAAGGAGGTCCAAAGGGTCATATTTGTCGATGAGGTCGATCCTTGGAGTCCAACGGGTACGTAGCGCAATCACGAGATGACTTTAAATATTCTTTATTGTACACAAAATTTATATCAAATTCTGTCTACTGTA